ATGCAACTAAAATATAAAAAATTAACAATAAGGAAAGGAAAACAGAAAGGATGATGATTGAAGACAGGAGGAACAAATGATATAAAGAATGTGGAGAAGCTAGGCACAGTGGCTCACATCTGTAATCCCAGTCCTTTGGGAGGCCTAGGTGGGTGGTTCACTTGACATTAGAAGTTCGAGGCCAGCCTGGCCAACATGGTGAAACCCCATCTCTACTAAAAAAAAAAAATACAAAAAAAAAAATTAGACCAGTGTGGTGGCAGATGCCTATAAATCCCAGCTGCTGGAGATGCTGAGGTGGGAGAATCGCTTGAACCCGGGAGGCAGAGGTTGCAGTAAGCCAAGATTGTGCCAGTGTGCTCCAGCCTGAAGCCAGAATGAGACTCTGTCTCAAAAAAAAAAGAAGATGGAGAATATGGACGTTGAAGGCAAGAGATAGAAAGTGGAAGTTATTAACTTATAGGGGATTTATTTTTTTTTTTTTGAGATGGAGTCTTGCTCTGTCACCCAGGCTGCAGTGCAGTGGTGCGATATCAGCTTACTGCAACCTCCAACTCTCGGGTTCAAGCAATTCTCCTGCCTCAGCCTCCCGAGTAACTGGGACTACGGGCATGTGCCACCAAGCCTGGCTAATTTTGATTTACAGGGGATCTTTAAAGCTGTGTTAGCAGGTACCTCTGAGAGACTGCAGAGAGAACAGAGTAACTAACACAGATTTGCGGACCACTGCTTCCATGGTTTATCAGGGTAATGAGTGGATTATGGGTAAATAAAATGGGAAATCAGCAAACAGGAATCAAAAAGCAGAGGCGAAACTTCAGTCATCAATCACATGCAATGAAATGATTCCTTGTACTGAGCTCTGACTTTTTGCATTATTTTCTTCCTTCCCTCCCCTTCTAAATGGGCTTAGCTTTACCAGGTAGTCTCCTAGCTTTGTAGAATTTTTCCTATAAAATGCTTGCCAAAAGAAAGAGAAACACTTGCCTACCTTTTCATGTCTGCCCTGAAACATGTGAGTGGCCCTCCCAGTGGTATTTTCCTCCATCTCTGCTCTATTTTAGTTGACTATTTCCTGCTGCCCCAAATTAGCCTGCCCCTAACTGTATAGATTACTTAGGTATGGCTTGCCTAGAGTAATAGATCCTAGTATTACAAACATTTGAATAATTCCTATCCACTAAAGTTATTTGATTTTAATTGAACTGAGCAGAATAAACTGACCTCTCCCAAATATTAATAAGTCAGATTGAATGAATCTTTCTGGGTTTTATTCTGCCTCTTAGCATCAAAGCAGAATTTTCCAATCTTGAAAATCTCAAAAAGAGACCCTCTGTTATAGCCCGCTTTTAATGTCTGCTTAACTTAACTCGTTCTTAAATAAATAAGTGGTAAAAGGAACAGGACTACCATCATCCGCTTAGGTTAATCACTGGTAGTGGAAAAAAATTGCTGAGTCAGCCACAGTGATGACTGTGCTGGTTAAACTCTCACAGATCCTCACAGTTAATGACCAAGATTGGTGAAGCAGTTTCCAACATCACCTTTATTGTCTGTATGAAATCCTTCATATTTTGTAAGAGATGTAATTTCCCTCTGTGTTTGCATGGTATTGTCAACCACCAACAGTCAATGAGAGACAGACAGCATAAGATGGACAGAGGTGGGACAGAGACAATAGAGACAGAAACTAGGGTCACTCTGTGGGGAAGAGAGAGTGCAGCATGGGTTAGTTCCATAAGTGGTCAGTTCAATCGTAAATATTTTTACTTTATGATCACTCTTTCTTTCCAGTGTAATCGTGTAACTTCTGGGACTCATACAATTCATTTTCAAATGAAAATGTACTTACGCTGTCCTATATATTGTAGTATTTGCATTTTTGAGTATATACTTCTTGTTCTCTAGTTAATTTCATCAAACATATATTTCTGATATGACCCCTGTTTAAAAAAACAAATGTGAATCTTTTGAAACTCGGGCCTATTTAAGCTACTTCTTCCTTAAAATACTTCAGTGGTTTTTTTTAGGAGAAACATCAAAATCCCTAATAGGACCTACAAGCCAAGCAGTGCGTGACGACTGCCTGCCTTGGAACATACTCTACCTTGTCTTTATATTCCAGAATTTGTAATATGGCTCAGTAACAAGTTTAGTCACATTATTACAGGATGTTCTCTCTTGTTCTCCCAAATTTTCGTGTAAAAATTCCTTATACAGTTATAATGCACCTTAAACGCAAGGCATTAGTTAAACTCTTATATGTTCCATATTTTTATATTAAGACTTTTAAAAAAGTTTCTCAAAAAGAACTTTTCAATTAAAAATCATTTTATCACACAGTAGGTTAGTCCTAAGGCAGAGTGTTCATGTTGCTATTTAAAATGTCATCTTTTTCTTTGCCAATTTTGTTTTGTTTTGTCTCCCTCACCATCTTTTCACTTTTCATTATCTCTTGCAGCACTCAAACTTGTTGCTAAAATTTGGTGAAAATGTTTGACAAACTCTATCATGAATCACAAGTAGATCTTATTAAATTTGAATTCTGAAGTCTGATCTTGGGTGACCTCCTTTCTCTAAGCGTTCATTTTTCAATTATGCCTGACTTGGGTAGGGGAGAGGGTAAGAGGTAGTATTTGTTTCCTGTGATTACACAAGTAATTTATTCTTTGTAGAAAATGTGCAAAGACTAAAAATATATAAAGAAGCAGAAAAATAGACCATAATCTTAACACTCAGAGACAACCACTGATAATACCCTGGCGTGTTGACTGCTCCCACTCTGGTGCCAGTCACCAGCACCCCACACTGAAACCAACCCAATAGTCCCATAGATCAGCAGTCTCCCAACCTTTTTGGCACTAGGGACTGGTTTTGTGGAAGACAATTTTTCCACAAACTGTAGGGGGTGGGTGGAGGGAGTGCCGGCAGGCGATGGTTTCAGCATGAATCAAGCACATTACATTTATTGTCTACTTTATTATGCTGGGGAACTGTTGGCATAATTGTGTTTTTAAATGTGAGAAAGGTGAGATTTGGGAGGGGCCAGAGGCAGAATGATATGGTCTGGCTCTGTGTCCTCACTGAAATCCCATCTTGAATTGTAATCCAAATTGTAATCCCCACGTGTTGGGGAGGGAGCTCATGGGAAGTGATTAGATTATGGGATGGTTCCCTCATGCTCTTCTTATGATAGTGAGTGAGTTCTCACAAGATCTCACGGTTTTATCAAGGGCTTTTCCCCCTTTGTTCGGCACTTCTCTCTCGCTGCCATGTGAAGAAGAACATGTTTGCTTCCCCTTCTGCCATGATTGTAAGTTTCCTGAGCCCCGGTGGGACTAGGAGTCGATTAAACTTTTTTCCTTTATAAATTACCCAGTCACAGGCAGTTCTTTATAGCAACATGAGAACAGACACAATTATGCCAACAGTTCCCCAAAGTTTTAACTGATTTCAGCATTAACCCAAAAGTCTAAGTCCACAGTCTCATTGAGACAAGGCAATTCCCTTCTGCCTATAAGCCTATAAAATCAAAAGCAAGTTAGTTACTTCCTAGATACAATGAGGGTACAGGCATTGGGTAAATACATCCATTCCAAATGGGAGAAGTTGGCCAAAACAAAGAGGCTACAGGTCCCATGCAAGTCCAAAATCCAATAGAGCGGTCATTAAACCTTGAAGTTCCAAAATGATCTACTTTGACTCTATGTCTTACATCCAGATCATGCTTATGGAAGAGGTGGGTTCCCACAGCCTTGCACAGCTCTGGTCCTAAGGCTTTGCAGGGTACAGCCCCCTTCCTGGCTGCTTTCATGGGCTGGCATTGTCTGTGGTTTTTCCAGGCTCATGATGCAAGCTGTTGGTGGACCTACTGTTCTGGGGTCTGGAGGATGGGGGTCCTCTTCTCACAGCTCCACTAGGCAGTACCCCAGTGGGGACTCTGTGTGGGACCTGTGACCCCACATTTCCCTACCACACTGCCCTAGCAGAGGTTCTCCATGAGGGCTCCTCCCCTGCAGCAAAATTCTGACTGGACATCCCATATATACTCTGAAATTTAGGTGGAAGTTCCCAAACCTCAATTCTTGATTTCTGTGTACCTTCAGGCCCAACCCCTTGTGCAAACCACCCAGGCTTGTGGCTTGCACCCTCTGAAGCAATAGCCTGAGATGCACCTTGCCCCCTTGTAGCCACAGCTGAAGCTAAAGCACCTGGGATACAGGGCACCATGTCCCAAGGCTGCATACAGCAGGGGTCCCTGAGTCCAACCCAGGAAGGCATTTTTTCCTCCTAGGCCTCTGGACTGTGATAGAAGGAGCTGCCATCAAGGTCTCTGACATGCCCTGGATACATTTTCCTGTTGTCTTGGTGATTAACATTTGGTTCCTCCTCATAATTTATGCAAATTTCTGCAGTTGGCTTGAATTTTTACCCATACAATGGGGTTTTCTTTTCTATTGCATCCCCAGGCTGCAGATTTTCCAAACTTTTTTTGCTCTACTTCCTCTTGAACACTTTGCTGCTGAGAAACTTATTCTGCCAGATACCCTAAATCATCTCTCTCAAGTTCAAAGTTCCACAGATCTCTAGGGCAGGGGCAAAATGCCACGAGTCTCTTTGCATAACAAGAGTGACATTTACTCCAGTTCCCAACAAGTTCCTCATCTCCATCTGAGAACTCCTCAGCCTGGAATTCATTGTCCATATCACTATCAGCATTTTGGTCAAAACCACCATTCAACAAGTCTATAGGAAGTTCCAAAGTTTCCCACATTTACCTGTCTTCTTCTGAGCCCATCAAACTCTTCCAGTCTCTGTCTGTTACCCAGTTCCATAGTCACCTCAACATTTTTGGGTATCTTTACAGCAGTGCCCCACTCTCTGTGGTACCAGTTTACTGTATTAGTCCATTCCCACACTACTAGAAAGAACTTCCTAAGACTGCTTAATTTATAAATGAAAGAGGTTGAATTGACTCACAGTTCTGCAGGGAAACTTACAATCATGGTGGAAGAGGAAGCAAACACATCCTCCTTCACATGGTGGCAGGAGAGAGAAGTACTGAGAAAAGGGGAAAAAGTCCCTGATAAAACCATCAGCTCTCATGAGAGCTCACTCACTATTATGAGGACAGCATGAGGGGACCACCCCTAAGACCTAATCACCTCCCACAAGATCCCTCCCCAACATGTGGGGATTACAATTCAAGATGAGACTTTAGTGGGGACACAGAGCCAAACCATATTATACACATATGTTTATTACAGCACTATTTACAATATCAAAGACATGAAATCAACCTAAAGACCCATTAATAATAGACTGGATAAAGAAAAATGTGGTACATATGCACCATGAAATACTATGCAGCCATAAAAAAAAAAAAGAATGAGATCGGCCAGGCACAGTGGCCTGGAGGTCATTATCCTTAGCAAACTAACAGGAACAGAAAACCAAATACTGAGGGTTCTCAGAAGGATGCAGAAGGGAACAACATACACTGGGGATTTTGGGAGGTTAGATGGTGGGAGGAGGGAGAGGATAAAAAAAAAACGACTAATGAATACTAGGCTTAATACCTAGGTGATGAACTAATCTGCACAACCAACCTCCATGACAGAAGTTTACCTATGTAACAAACCTGCAATGGTACCTCCAAACTTAAAAAAATTAAAAAAAAAAAAAAAGAAAGAAATTGACCTTTCTGGTGTTAAAACTTTAAACATATTTGTTTTGTCTGAGTTCCTTCCTCAGGAAAGGGCCTTCAGGTTTCTCTAAAAAAGTATGAAAAAACTGAAGCTCACCAGATCACCACATGAAAACAATGAGATGCTGGACCCCTCATTCATCATGATTGCTTCTTGCCCTTCCATAGTTCCTGTTTTCTTGCATGTTGTTACATTTCTTCCCGGCTAGAAGCCCTAGTTTTAGTCCATCATGGAGACGGATTTGAGACTGAGTTCTCATTTCCTCTGCTGCAGCACCCAATTAAAGCCTTCTTCCTTGGCAATAATCGACATCTCAGTGATTGGCTGTGTGGCAAGGCCAGCAGTAGGACCTAAACCAAACCCCTAATGTTTCAAATACAACACCTGGACTATTGCACCAGGCCTCTGAGCTACCCTGTCTCATTTTGTCATCCACGGAATCTTTCACATGCTGTTTCTCAAACAAGCCTGCAGATCCTGTCTCTTTCGCCTGCTACTACAGAAGCTTCTTTCTCCAGAGAGACACATGTTTTACTCCCTTATCTCCAGGTTTCTGTCCTAATGTGTCTGAAATTTGTGGGTTCTTGGTCCCACTAACTTCAAGAATGAAGCCGCGGACCCTCCCGGTGAGTGCTACAGTTCTTAAAGATGGTGTGTCTGCAGTTTGTTCCTTCAGATGTTCAGATGTGTCCAGAGTTTCCTCCTTCTGGTGGGTTCCTGGTCTGGCTGGCTTCAGGAGTGAAGCTGCAAACCTTCGCAGTGAGTGTTACAGCTCTTAAAGGTAGTGCGTCTGGAGTTGTTCATCCCTCCCGGTGGGTTCCTGGTCTCGCTGGCTTCAGGAGTGAAGCTGCAGACCTTCACGGTATTACAGCTCATAAAGGCAGTGCGGAACCAAAGAGTGAGCAGCAGCAAGATTTATTGCAAAGAGCCAAAGAACAAAGCAAGCTTCCACAGAGTGGGTTGACACTCTTGCTGGGGCAGCCTGCTTTTATTCCCTTATCGGACCCCACCCACATCTTGCTGTTTGGTCCATATTACAGAGAGCTGACTGGTCCATTTTGACAGAGTGCTGATTGGTGCATTTACAATCCTCTAGCTAGATATAAAAGTTCTCCCCACCCAACTCAGGAGCCTAGTTGGCTTCAGCTAGTGGATCTCATGCAGGGGCTGCCAGCGGAGGTGCCCGCCAGTCCCACATGGCATGCCCACACTCCTCAGCCCTTGGGCAGTTGATGGGACTGGGTGCTGTGGAGCAGGGGGCGGCACCCATAGGGGAGACTCAGGCTGTGTGGGAGCCCACGGGGTGGGGGACTCGGGCATGGCGGGCTGCAGGTCCTGAGCCTTGCCCTGCCTGGAGGCAACTGAGACCTGGCAAGAATTCAAGTGTGGAGCGGGCAGGCCAGCAGTGCTGGGGGACCCAGTGCACCCTCCGCAGCTTCTGGCCCAGGTGCTAAGCCCCTCACTTCCCGGTGCAGGGCATCAGCCTGCTGCTCCTAGTGTTGGGCCCCCCGAGTCCATGCTCACCTGGAACTGGCGCTGGCCTGCCAGAACCATGTGAACACAGTGAGCACAGGTTCCCGGCTGCACCTCTCATTCCACATGGCCCCTGCAAGCAGAGGGAGCTGGCTCCAGCCTCGGTCAGCCCAGAGAGGGGCTTCCACAGTGCAGTGGTGGGCTGAAGGGTTCCTTGAGAGCCTCGAGTGGAATCCCAGGCCGAGGAGGTGCCCAGAGCCAGCGAGAGCTGCTAGCACGTTGTCACCTCTCACTGATGTTCCCTTATCAGACCTTTTCTAACTAGCCTATCTGAAATAGCACCCTCCCTATAAGCACTTAGCACTATCTGATTGCATATGTGTGTTTATGTACATGCCTGCTTACTTATTTACTTATTTGCTAATTGTCTGGTTCCTCTCACCATAATGGAAGGTTTATGAGAGCAGGGACTTAGTTTTTGTTCACTGCTATATTCACAGCATTTAACATAGTGCCAGACAAGTCACAATTGAGAGGTGACAATGTGCTAGCAGCCCTCACTTTCAGTGCCTCCTCGGCCTCGGTGTCCACTCTGGTGGTGCTTGAGGAGCCCTTCAGCCCGCCATTGCACTGTGGGAGCCCCTCTCTGGGCTGGCTAAGGCCTGAGCCTCCTCCCTCTGCTTGTGGGGAGGTGTGGAGGGAGAGGCACGGGCGGAAACCGGGGCTGTGCTTGTGGGCCAGTGTGAGTTCCGGCAGGTGCTAGTGCGGGCTCGGTGGCCCCGCACTCGTAGCGGCCTGCCGGCTGGCGCCGCCAATCCAAGGCAGTAAGGGGCTTAGCACCCGGGCCCGCAGCTGCGGAGGTTGTGCCGGGTCCCCCAGCAGTGCTAGCCCACCAAGGTGCTGCAGTCAAATTCTGGCCGGGCCTTAGCTGCCTCCCTGTGGGGCAGGGCTCGGGACCTGCAGCCCGCCGTGTCTGAGCTCCCCCCCTGCAGTGCGCTCCCCCTCGGCCTGAGCCTCTCCAATGGGCGCTGGCCCCTGCTCCGTGGCGCCTGGTCCCATGGACAGTCCAAGGGCTGAGAAGGGCAGGCGCCGTTGGGGACTGGCAGAGAGCTTTGCCTGCAGCCCTGGTGGAGGATCCACTAGGTGAAGCCAACCGGGGCTCCTGAGCTGGATGGGGACTTAGAGAACTTTTATATCTAGCCAGAGGATTGTATGTGCATCAATCAGCACTCTGTATCTAGTTAATCTAGTGGGGACTTGGAGAACTTTTATGTCTAGCTAGAGGATTGTAAATCCACCAATCAGCACTCTGTGTCTAGCTCAAGGTTTGTAAATACATCAGTTAGTACTCTGTGTCTAGCTCCAGGTTTGTAAATACACCAATTCGTACTCGGTATCTAGCTAACTCTGTGTCTAGCTATAACCTAGTGGGGACTTGGAGAACTTTTCCATCTAGCACTTTGTGTCTAGCTCAAGGATTGCAAATGCACCTGTCAAAACGGACCAATCCACGCTCTGTAAAATGGACCAATCAGCAGGATGTGGGTGGGGTCAGATAAGCAAATAAACACAGGCTGCGGGAGCCAGCCAGCGACAACTCACTCCGGTCCCTTTCCACACCGCGGAAGCTTTGTTCTTTCGCTCTTTGCAATAAATCTTGCTGCTGCTCACTCTTTGGGTTCATACTGCCTTTATGAGCTGTAACACTCAATATGAAGGTCTGCAGCTTCACTCCTGTCAGCGAGACCACGAGCCCACCAGAAAGAAGAAGCTCCAGACACATTTGAACATCTGAAGGAACAAACTCTGGACCCGCAGGTCTTTAAGAACTGTAACACTCATCGCGAGGGTCAACAGCTTCATTCTTGAAGTCAGTGAGACCAAGAACCCACCAATTCCGGACACACTCCCACCATAATGGAAGGTTTATGAGAGCGGGAACTTAGTTTTTGTTCACTGCTATATTCACAGCATTTAACATAGTGCCAGACAAGTTACAGGCCCTCAATAAATATTTGTTAATGATTGAATGAAACAATTGGTATTTTTATTACCCTGTCTTCTTCCAATACATATTGAAACTTCAGTTCTCCTTGAATGATCTCAAGTGTAGCTCTAAATTTGGGCTTGGTTTACATAGCTATTCAGGCTGAGGTGCATCTATCTGCAAATGGGCAGGTTTCTAGATGGGCTATAACAAATACAGTTAATTTTTTTTTTTCTTTTTGAGATGGAGTCTCACCCTGTCACTCAGGCTGGAGTGCAGTGGCACAATCTCAGCTCACTGCAAGCTCTGCCTTCCGGGTTCACTCCATTCTCCTGCCTCAGCCTTCCGAGTAGTTGGGACTACAGGCACCCACCACCATGCCCAGCTAATTTTTGTATTTTTAGTAGAGACGAGGTTTCACCATGTTAGCCAAGATGGTCTCGATCTCCTGACCTTGTGATCCTCCCGCCTCAGCTTCCCAAAGTGCTGGGATTACAGACGTGAGCCACCGCGCCTGGCCACAGTTGACTTTTTGCCTTAGTCTGTTCTGAATGCTATAAGAAAATACCATAAACTGGGTGGCTTATCAACAACAGAAATTTATTTTACACTGTTTTGGAGACTGGAAAGTCCAAGATCCAGGCACCAGCAGATTTGGTGTCTTGTGAGGGCCTGCTTCCTGGTTCATAGATGGCACCTTCTCAGTGTGTCCTCACATGGTGGAAGGGGAAAGGCAGTGCTCTGGGTCCTCTTTTATAAAGACGCTAATCCCATTCATTACTGCTCTGCCTTCATGACCTAGTATTTCCCAAAGGCCCTACCTCCAAATAGTATCATTACATTGATAATTTGTTTTCAACATAGGAATTTGGGGAAAGCACAAACAATAAAATGGTAGCAATGCCTTTATGCAAG